AAACAAAAAAACGAGAATCAAATATGCCACTATAATGTAGTATTATATAATTTTGACTCCTACTTTCGAAATAGCCCGTTTGTTGAAACAGTTACGTTAATGGCTTTTATATTTATTATTGTTGAAAACCAACTTTGAGCTTCTTATACTCGCACATATGGTATTTTTAAAACGTTTACATTTGTGACTTGCATGTTTGGCATTGTTATACTTCATATGTTTGAAATATGTTTCATTTTTGACGTTTGCCATTTCTTTAAATACCAAGTTACGTGGGACTTAATTTTTTTACTCGCACGTTTTGCATTTTGAGATTATTTGAAACGTAACATTGTGGCACGCTTGACATGTTTGAACCCATAATTGAAGCTCTGGCGTTCAAAAATGTGAACATGTATTTAAAAATAAAAAATATGAATCTTAGTATGTTGTTAACAAATTCCCGCTGTGCAATTGAAAAATAAAAAAAATGGGAAACCAGACTCTCTTGGTGATGGGTGAACTTGAACCATATAGGAGTGGCGGATACAAATAAAACACATACTTCATATCACAGCTTTTCTGATCAAATGTACACTGCAAGATGAAATCATCGAATTGATGACCCAAGTGTGCAATTTCTTCAGTAGACAACTTCAGGACGTCTTCCATGTCGCTGTAGTCAGGGCTGGAGCTGAAAGTCTGAAATCCAGACCAATCCGGTGGATTTTCACCTTTCACGCGATCGAATCCATGATCCGAAAAAAAGTTATTTTTGAAATCTTCATAAATGTTTTCGTCGTCTGTTAATATCAAATAGGGAATATTCCATCCCTGGGGAAACAAATTCACGCTTCCCTCTGAAAAAACATATTTGTACATGTTTAGTTACAAATAACATGCACAGTTAGTCGACTGAATATCTCATTCTCTTTATCTTCGTTGTGCTACATTAATTTCGATGTCATGATGGATGTATGACATTCTCTAAGCACCCTCAACCACGCCACCGACAGCAGTAAGCGGTCGGGGCTTGGAAGAATGGGCGTTAGCTGAATTTATTGCGAGTATTAAAGGTGTTGCAAACGTTATTCAATATGTGCATTGACACATAATAAGTTCTCATCACTGCAAAATATGTTATCGAACAAAGTATCAGTCGCAGTTTATATTTTGCTCTCGGCAGAGATTGTGTAAGTAAGTAAACAATAGAGACAGTGAGTTTTCTTTGTTTAGCATCACACAAAAACTAACATGAACATTTATCTGTAAATCGAGAAGGTTACCTTGGTATCTGTACATGCATTGTTCTGGCACCTCGTCAGTAGAATCATCACAGTCAACAACACCATTGCATTCGCCATATAGATGTATGCATTGACCAGATGCACAGGCAAACTCACTCTCCGTGCAATTAGGTGGAGCTAATTACAATGATATATAAATATATAAATTAAAGTTACACTCCGAGTTTAATCATATAGCAGTATTGGTGTCATAGGGACTATGACATGATATATCTGATTCGTTCAATATAATAAACTTTCAATTTTTCAGATTTCCAGCGCAACCGCACGTTGGCGATCGTTTCGGCTTCCTATTTGTCTGTGTTTAAATTACATTCGCCAGCGCTCTACAATAGTATTCCGAAGTGCATGGATTCACATAATTCACTTCAGTAGTTTCGCGTCCAGGCGAATCATAAGTTTATTTGAGTTGAATGGCGTTATTGAAAAACTAAAGTGAAGGAATGAAGTGAATAACCTGGTGGATCTGGAGCAGCAGTTGATGGGGTTGATTTCGTCGTTGCTTCATTTGAATCACAGTTAATTTCATCGCTCCCATCTGAACAGTCATCAAATGTGTCACATACGGCTGATATCGGGAGGCATTCTAGAGAATCCGCACAGCAAAACAAATCAATATCCGATTCCAATTCCGATGCTGATGATACTGACGTTGACGAAGAATCTAAAAATGTGGATCAATGTGTTTAATCCAATATTATTCTACTTATCAATAACATACATATATGCAAGTGTACTATTAGTAAAAACGTGTTGTCTGAAAGGGATCCAGGGAGAATCGTTGTATTATTTATATACGAGAATGTGAGGCACCAAATTTTGGTGAAAATCACGAATCGGGAGCTTAAATTCATCGAAAAACCCACTCATTGAAGCAAATTTTCAAGGAAAACCCACTCTAAATTGATTATACAGGTTTTGCAGCATCAGAAAATCTGGTTAAATCGATGTGGCATTACCCACATTACTAGTATATCCACACAACTTTGGATTCTAAAATTGTCAAACAAGGACCTGTTACCCATTTTAAAACATAATTTATGGACCCCATGGTTGCTAGGTGACTAGTGAACCCCGGAAGTGTGCGTTTACTTAAAGTCTTCGCGTATTTCACAAATTAAACTGCCTCGCTTTCAATACACACTACCGTGATTGTGACTGACACATTTTGGGTCATCATTTTCATCAGAAAACCTCTAACTTTTTTCCCATTCCACATCCTACTACTAGGCTATGCTTTACAATGTTGGTGGAACTATATTTACAGGAATAAACAAATGGCTCAAATGACTGCCGGGAGTAAGCCAATGTAAGCCATTGTGTTGACGGTGCATTTAGTTTTACTTGATCTCACTATGCAGATTTATTTTTGTAAGCCGCCATTTGGTTTCTTTCGTACTGACTGCCCGTGAAATGAAACATGCATATGAATGTACGGAATAACACAATGAACAATATGAAAACGTGGGATTGTGGGTAATTCGAACCTCGGTCAAAGAAGACATTGTTGGCATGTACCTGGATTTAGAAGACATTGCATTACCTCGTAAATGACAGTTTTCTGCCAGTTCATCAGTACCATCTACACAGTCTATGAAGTCATCACATATCCATCCACTGACAATACAATAACCGTCACCACACTCAAATCCAGAGCCGCATCCAGCTGTTAAGTCAATGTATGCATTAGCATATGCTATAGTAATTTCAATAAAACACTGTCTTCCATGACCATGGAGTGGAGAATAATTGAGAGGAATGTGGTGACGATAAGGGGTGAGACAATTTCTACTCTAAATTGCTGTCGGCGCAAAATATTCCAAATACAAATGCACTTACAAGCACAATTCCTATACACAGACAGTGCACTGAACTACACACTCATGTACTTGGAAGGTCTACACTAGTACAAACCTAGTATAACTGTATCAATGATACGAATTTAGTTTAGAATATGCAATTACTTGTAAATGTGGTACCATAAAACGTGTTACACGTGTATTAATATATTAATTATGCAAGTCAAGAGGGCAATAGGATTTACAAACAATTTATTTGATTGAAATTATAATGTTCATAATACATTTGATTCGCAATGAACGAGAGTATTCAAGTTTAATATCTAAAATGTGAATTATGGTACAAATGGTACTGGAGATATGGTGAATATAGAAATAATACTCATTGATACTTACTGCAGTTTGCTTCGTCCGTGCCGTCTATACAGTCATCCCAATTATCACATACCCAAAAATCAGGAATACAATTGTTGGTATCACACAGAAATTCACTTTGACCACAAGTTCCTGAAATTGCAAATATAAACGCTGCATAGTACGGCAGAGAATATAAATCATCAAAAATATCTCTGGTATATTAATACAAAACAGTAAAAACAAATAAAACAGTAAGTATGTATCATAACATAATTTCATTATATATGTGTATATTGCACATAATTGTCGAGGAACTGTGAATTGTGTCACGGTTGCTAGAAGTTCCTCTAGTAACCATGACTGTGTGTGCATTGATATAAACAGAATCGTTTCCCGAATCTGAAAAAAAAATAGCTTGAATGCAAAACTATCTACCAATCGTAAATACGCAACTAAACAGTGAAGTCTCAGTTCAAATTAAAGGGCGGCAGTCGTCGTGTCGCGTCCTGTTCGATATGGGACTCATAGCGACGTATACAACGCATGTAAAATGCATTGTCTATTTACATGAAATTCGAACACGCGCTGCGCGGCGACCACTGCGCTTTAATCAGGTTATAACGAGCAATCATACGAAGGAAGTACATTGTTTTACAAACCATTGTATCCCACAATTCAATACGCACATCAGCACCATGATGAAGGCGACCGAACCAGCAAAATAGTGACCGAAAATGACATCGGCGCTGGACAATTTAAAACGAGTCACATGATTACAAGTATACAATTTTACATTCAATACGTTACCATCTGTTCCATCGCCAGTTCCAGTGCCACAATTCGCCTCGTCGGTGGAATCTCCACAGTCACTGAAACCATCACACACCCAGTACTCTGGTATGCAATTTGTTGCATCGCATAGAAATTCAAATGACGTGCAAATAACAAGCGCTGTGAACAAATGATAATAAATCACAAGAAATATATATTCGCGTTACCATTTTTCTGTAGTGAGTCCCGGTGACAAAAAATGAAGAAGAATTGAAAATATATGCTGTACATATATTTATGACTAAATGGTCTCTCTCGAAGATTTGGATTCCGGAAAACAGTATACGGGGTTAATGAAATTCTTGGAAGATTGATGGTATTTAAATTCAGGTGTAAAACGTATCCGTGGCAAAATAGCGTTAACTCACGAACAAGAAATAGGGGCGTAAGTGTGGTATATACCTGTTGCGTCCGTATCACAATCTTTTTCGTCACTTCGATCAGCGCAATCAGCGAATGAATCACATTTCCAGCTTGAGGGTATACATTTGTCTTCGTCACATGACAGACCCTGACAATCAGTAGGGTTGTACTTATCTATGGACAGACAACACAAAATATCAATATAGCATATTGTCGCCAGAGGGAGCAATTCGAACTCAACGTTAAATATTAAACCACCTGTTAACCGTCTGGATTAACGAGATTGTTATTGAGCGACGCTTTTTGTGACATCTAACATAAAACGGTTAGACTTATAACTTTTAAATTTGTTTGGGGGATTGCGATGGAAAATCCTATGGAGAGAGAGCTTTCATGTACAATATGCATGGAGTTGTACAACGAACCTCTTCTTTTGCCATGTGCTCACACGTTCTGTCGAAAATGTTTGGAAGATTTGATAGCGAAATCCAATGGATTTGCCGCCACAGCTACAAGCACATGCCACGGCGACGATGGTGGTGATTGTAGACCAGAGGCCGACGAACCGTGCGATGTACCAACAGATTCTAAAGATTCAGATGGAATTGTTATAAACTGTCCGACTTGTAGACGGGAAGTTATACTGCGCAGTGAGACGGGACTAAATGGACTGGTCCGTAACTTCCTTCTTGATAGTATCGTTAGCCGATACAAACAACAAGAAACGTCCATAGTACGGCAGACATGTGAAATATGTGATGATAAGCCTGCTATAACAAAGTGTGTCCAGTGTCAAGTCACATACTGTGACCTCTGTAGAAATATGTGTCACCCAAACAAAGGTGTATTTAACACCCATCAGCTGGTACCGCTATCTCATGATGGTCCTGTACAACGCACGTATGGCATCCAGCCATTACAGTGTTTTGTACACAATGGCGAAGGGTTAAAACTGTACTGCGATGACTGTCGAATACCGATATGTTTCATATGTGAGCGATTTGGGGAGCATAAAGGACACCATGTCCGTGAGGCACATAGCGCTTTTAAGACTATCAAGGTATACAGAGATTGTATAAATGAATAAACACGTCATGGAAATGACGGCTCCGATCATTACAACCTGACAAGTGGTTCATTTCATTACACAATGATCGTGACGATAATTGATAATATCAATGATGGATAAGTGGCATGAATTATATCGTCTATTTATGTAAAAAGTGCTATTTATTTTAAATCACCTTCGCCATATCATTCCAGTGTTTATACTAACTGTTAGATCACGTATGCAAAACGTTATGCAATCGAGTCATCAAAAAATGTCATTATATCCACAGGAACAGATGAGCGATAACGTGGCTACAATGATTGGACTGCAGAGCGATATTGACGATTTTCTCATAGCTCTGTCAAATGGACGAGATTCGATTCAGGTGAGTTGCTCTTCTAACGTAACGTAAATTTAAATTTCCATTTTACAGTCTACAGAAAGAACTTATTTAAGAAATTACCACCTGTGTGTTTTTGTAGGAAGATGCAGCCAGTCTGAAAGAACAAGTGTCGAATTCTTGTCAGCGCCTCCACGCGACGATAAACCAAAAAGAGCAGGAGATGCATGAGGTCATCGCAAAGGACATGACTAATAAACTGTATGAAATCCAACAAAAGATGACGATGTGTCAAGATAAACAGCGCCGCCTATCGGGGTTGGTACAGTTCGCCCAAGTAGTTCTCGAAAACAACAATGAAACGTCAATATTTCTTACGGTAAAATACTAATGTTAATAACACAACCACAATGAATAATGTATACGGTGAACACTGGCATCTTGTTCATTTAACGACTATTCCATGTTCCTTGTCGTTGCAACGTAAACATATAGAATAGTTGCTAAATTGGAACTCCCTCGAAATATGCACATGCCATTATGTTAAACAATTATACTAAAGTTATAACAGACATTAACAATTATGTTTTATTACAGTCGGCTGCGTCTCTGGATGACAGGTAAGGTTCGCAGCAATTTTATTTCATATATAGCATGAAACAAATTGGATTTTTTAATGAAATCTCTTGGGAAACCCACGAATTAATATCCCGTAATTTCGTAGTTACAACTGAAGAGATACAGATATATTACCTTCGACTGTACACTGGTGCTATAGGGTGACTATGATGTCACTTGTCACGTCATTTCCGGTTAATTACTGATAATACATAGTGTAACTGTCACGTTTAATTTAAGCTATTTTTCACGTATAATCACCATATATATAACTGACCAATCGTATTCGTATTTAAATTTCCTCGCATATGTTTGCATACTAGACTAACATCGGAGTTGTCAAACAGTCCAAATCTCCAACTTAACGAGGCCTTCTTGACCTTTGACCACATCATAATCGATGTCAAATCAGCAATACGAGGGATTAAAAAAATGCAAGCAAGAAAAATTACAGGTAACAAAGTTAAAAACAGTCTAGCAGTTGTTTGACATTGAAAACTGTATCGTGGTTAGTGAAAGCCTCGACTTTCTGAAGAATGATCGGAATGCATAGAAATTATATTCAATATAAGAAAATAATTCAATTTGAATAGACAATTATAATTAAATTTAATATGTTGAATAATAACATTCGTTTGCTTTAGAACCCAAAGTTCCCATCATCACGAAGACAGAAATTATGAACCGAAATGGTGTTATGTTATCTGTCAACCATGAACCCTGTGACGTCAAATGGTATGACGTGGCTTATCAACCAATTAACGGTCAATGGATGACAATGAGATGGGAGGTTATGGCAGACCAATCAGGGGCGAGTTTAGAAGATCATATCCATCTTGGCAATCTTGATTACGACTGTGAATACTATTTCTGTGTGTGTATGACCAATGTAGCTGGCACCTCACCATGGTCACAAACTGTTGCAGTGAAAACTAAAACAGTAGGTAAGAAAAAGTTACTTGAACATATATGAGATTCTGTTGACTTCTACATTTGAAACTCCAATTTGGTCATTGCTGATTAGCATTATTTTTTTTCGTTTTTAGCAACTGAATTCATTTTAAACGAAGAGACAGCACATCCGGCGTTGCTCTTATCGGAGGATGGTAAAACTGTCAAAAGAAGGGAAGATTACATCCACAAAAAAATGAAAGTAAGCGAGAAAATACAACTAGGAATGAGGTTCGTACGAAACGTGCATTGCATTCTGGGTGATGTGATATTATCTGACGACGCGCATTACTGGGAAGTGGAGGCCAGCCAATCGGGTGCAACGTCATACGCCATTGGCGTTGCTACGGCAGACTGTCACAGAAACCAACAACTTGGAACAAATAAGTCGTCATGGTGCCTTGAAATAATGGGCATCACTGCCCGTGGCTATCACAATGACAGGTGTACAAGGATTAAACACAACTTAGAGTGCAATTCAACGCGTCGATTTGGCATTTTGTTGGACTATCAGCGGAGAGCACTGGAATTTTTCTATAAAGAAAAACTACTGCTTTCTTATGCAGTAAATGCCAAAGTTACTGACTTGTGCCCAGCCTTTGACCTTACTAACTCCAGCGCTAAGCTGAGCATTATTACGGGACTGAAAATCCCAGAATTCTTAAACACGTAGTTGTATGCCTACAGTAAAAAATAATAAAACTGCCCGTAAATGCCAATTGTTATTATTCGTGGGCTATAGGGAGAATAAAACATAATAACAAATAATTGTGTAATGTGAGTACATACGGTGTGTGTGGTTGTGTTTGTCATGTACGCCTGGTAGTTTCTAATGCTATACAGACCCAGCCTTGCGTACCATTGCACTTACTAAATAGATTCTTAGCAGGTGGCGACATACTGGCATATATTAAAGAGAGGTCACGGTTTCAGATTGTATTATGACGAGTGGTAGGGGCAATTAATTCACGTGTCTCAGGTCGGTATCCATAATTTGAGTGCAACCACCCATCCCACATGTACCGTTAAAATAACTAAAATAAGTGTCGTGCCGCGTTCAGTGATATAGTAGTATATAATTACTTGGTTACCATGTTGTCAACATACACACACATATAACACAGTTGTAATTTAGAAACTTGCAAGCATAACATTAAAGTAATTGATATACTTATTGTTACAACAGTGACGTCAGAACAAATCTAATTAGCTGAACAGAATGTATTGTCAACACGCACGTTGTTTTGACGTCGCCATCGAATCACACAGTCTCTTATATAAAAAGTACAAAACGCTTCACCCAACGATGATTGGCAGTTGTACGGGACAACCTCCAGAACTTCTCCTTATTTCCACAGGTAACAATAGCGATGGTTTGACCCCATCGACATGACAATAGCAAGTGGTTTGAAACCAATAATAGGAAACACTGGAATTGGTATTGTCTGCATTTCGTGAATAGCATGGATCTAGGCCATAATAGCCCTTTGTATTCCGTTATATGATGTTTCCCCGGTTCGTACACGGTGGTTAAATACACTCTATAACTTGGCGCTGATTTTAGAGTTCATTTCCACTCCAGCTACATATTTACTGCTCTGTTAGTGAACTGAGCCTTTTTTCAGTTGTCACGTACATATTCAACAAAAAATGGGCGACTCACTGGAACGAGAACTATCGTGTGCAGTGTGCATGGAGCTTTATACAGACCCACTCTTGTTGCCTTGTGCGCACAGTTTTTGTCGAAGCTGTTTGCCCGATGTTCTGAAGCGCAACTCCAATCAGAAATCTGGACACTCACGTCTCGTCTGCCCGTCATGTCGCTTTACAGTGGAACTGGATAAAAGAGGGATAGACGGTCTACCCAGGAACTTTTTACTAGACAATATAATTGAAAGGTACAAGGAAGAAAAGTCGACAGACGGGAGGCCAGTCAAGGTTAAAGGTGTCGCGTGTGACGTCTGTGCTGACAGTGGGGGTGCTAAGGCCAGTAAAACATGTATACAGTGCGGCGTATCCTACTGTGACCGGTGTTTACGCACGTATCACCCGAGTAAAGGTGTGTTTTCCAAACACAAACTGGTGAAAGCTACCCGTAACCCAAAGCGCAAGGACGTGTACTGTCCCGAACATGACGACGAGCTCATTAAGATGTACTGCGTGCAGTGCAAGACACCGGTCTGCTATCTGTGTGATAGATTTGGGGGTCATAAAGGTCACCAGGTAGCGGAATTAAAGACGTCATACAAACTCATGAAGGTACTAGTATATGATTTAGAGTGCTTTTTAAACTTTGCAAATAAATCCCCGGAAGATAAACACATACTAGGGAGTACTAATATGATAGTAAATGCCGCATTGTAATTTATGTAAAATGTCCAATCATAAAATATCTATTTATTTCATTCAATTCTGTGAGTGTGTAGCAACAACACCAATATACAATGCTGTTTTCTGTATTTGGGCACAGGTGCATATAACAACAATCATATCGCGAGCCGGGTATGGCGTCAGGGCTGAGAAAAAGTCAATATAATTTGCATGCAAATGCAATAGGCCAATGCTAGCATGGCGAATGATCATACAACTATACATACAATATATTGATTAACATGTAATTGTCAATGTTCATTTTATAGGAGACACTTAGTAGTAACTTGGCTCAGCTTGTATCTAAGATGGCGAATGTTAACGAATTTATAATAACGCTAGAAAGAAAAGGTGAATCTATACAGGTATATAGCACAACATGAATATATCAATGTCATATAACAGTATTACGGATATATATCAGAAGAAAACAAATAATAATTCAGGCAGCGTCGCACAAACATATAGAAATTGTCTATGCAGTACCCCCTCAAAGATTAAGATGGGGTATACTTTGTTTAATTCAAAATGGATTTCTGTGTTTTACCACAGACCAATGCAGCTGTAATGCATCAAAGAATATCAGAAGAATTTGCAGTGATTAAAGCCATGCTGGAACAGAGGGAGAGAGTTATGCACACAAAGATATCTGAAGAAACGGCGAGGAAACTATTATTATTAAAGCAACAGAATATGGCCTGTCAAGATAAACTGCATAACACGGCGGGATTGATACAATACACCAGAGAAGTGTTGAAAGAGGAGGTACCCGCTGCGCTGCTATTGGTAAATTTAGTATCCTTGCTATGATTATACAAATGACAAACAATGAAGGGTCATTGACCGCAACCTCTTGTTGTAATTACCAATCATTGTGATTACCGATGTTTTGCTGAATTAATGTTCATTATGGACCATACTGACTGATTTATTTTGAGGGGCGTGTTCTAGCAGTGGTCATTTTCCTTTTTTCTTATTGTACGTTTTTTGATCATAACCAATAAGGCTGTGTTGCATGAATTATGTATACACATGGCGTACATGAGGGAACTAAAGAATTCTTTAGTTTTGATTTAATTTTGGTTACTGACAAAGCAGTTAAGCCGACGTTAGTTTAACCAAGGCACGTACACCCATCTTTACTGATTTTGTTCCAGAAATTAAAATTGTTTTTTTTTTGTTCATTTCAACAGACGGGAGCATCATTGGACGACAGGTAATGCATAATGCAATTGTGTTAAAAAAAGTTTTATAATTAAACATGTTAATTAAATTTCTTTAAGTTATTTCTATTAAAATTAAATCGTACTACGACTGTCGGAATAGAACATGTTTATTTACTCACATGTAAATATAATATACTACAATAACATCACACATCAACTTACTGATATGTTTAACTTTTAAGTATTTATTTTGTTCTGCTAGGTTGAATTGTGCGATAGATTCGTGTCCCCAGCTTCAGCCGAACACAGCGGATGATTTTAGTCACGTGATCCTCAATTTAGAGTATGAGAAACAAATTATACAAAAAATGGACTTACTAACCATAAAAGGTAATATTTGTATATTAGTAAATTTACCAGAATTCGAAATTAATGACAAATAATAATAAATAAATATTCCACTTTAAAATATGCACGGACTTTTAATACTGAAATCACGTATGAGTAGGCGATCTATTATTTATTTAAACAAAATTATACGTTTTTAATACCTTTAAGTCGAAATATGATTAATGAAATATGTTTTCTGTCACGGGCTGCTATTAGCTCCTGAAAAGCCACGGATGGGAGGACACATTGAAGTACGGAACACCGTACATCTATCAATAAAACACGCACCATGTATCGTCGACTCTTATGATATGGGTGTCTGTAAGAGTGGTGGATTGTGGGATTACTTCAAGATAGAATGTGGTAAAGGCGATGAAAGGGAAACGGACGAATACCGCTTAGTCAAAGAAGACTTGGCATTTGATTCGGAGTATTTCTTTAAAGCACGTGTTCGGAATAAAGCTGGTGCCTCTGGATGGAGTAATGTATTTCCTGCAAGGACAGGACCACAAGGTACCATAAGTCAAGTCTTACTCGATTCTCACCTTCCTCCACCCAATCCTATTTTGGTATATATATTCGGTGCAATCATCACTGTGTTTCAATTATATTCTTACTGCCATGATGTAAACAGATAGGTGCATTTATTTATATATTGTCATCACTGGCGGATAAAGAAATTTGGTAACTATGGGCGGGGTAAAGCGTGCTACTACTATTGAATCTCCTCATCACATGGCCGAAGAGATTGTTTGGGCCTGGCGCGCCTCCCCCTAAATCCGCATAGTCATACAAAAATATAACTAGTATCACTTGACAACAGTTTCAACACACAATAAAGATCGTGAATTTATTTTCTTGGTTGATCTCACACCCAGTAACACAATATACGCGTTGGATTTAAATTTAAATTTAAAGCGGGAGAGTCGTCACCTGCGCATGCGCCAGCTGGCCATAGCGTGTCATTGTTTACAAACAAGCGTCTACCCATGAGCCTTTGCATTTTTAGCGTGTGTTGTTATCGTCGCATGGGACTCAATTCCCGCGCGTGCGCAGGTGACAACCCTCCCGCTTTAAATACTGTATTTTGTCCCACAGCTATGACATTTCGACTTGATCCGGAGACAGCTCATGAAGATCTGGTTATCATAAGTGCAGGACGATCTGTCATATATCAGCCCAGGCCACGTGGATTTTGGGTTATGCAAGAAGAAGGGAAAGCCAGTACGGGTCGGTTTCATGGACGGGCGTTATCCGTTCTGGCAGATGTAGTCCTAGCAACAGGTGTCCATTACTGGGAGGTCACCACTCAGGTTGCAGAAAAGCAGCATGGGGAAAGCCTTTCACACTATACGGATCGTGATGCATCAGTCTATCGTGGAGATATTGCAATAGGACTTGCTAAACAGAATTGCAACAGAGATCTTTGTCTAGGTAGCGACGGCTCATCATGGGCGCTGAGACTTCCGTCAAATGGTGGAAACTGGTATGTAGCCCACAAGAATAAACAACACGTTATCAGCGCTGCGTCAGCAATTGATAGCTGCCCACGCTCCCAGTTTCCTGCTGGCCTACACGTTGGAATTCTAGTAGATTTCACCCACCATAAGCTAAGATTTTATGACTGCAATCGTAAGATACTGCTTTATTCGTGTGATCAAATTTCAAAGGAGAAGAGACTTTGTCCAGCTCTGGAAATCAGCGATAGTTCTTATCAATTGAATCTTAGAACTGGAACCGGCATACCTGATTATGCCAATTCTAAGTGAAAATGTAAACTATTGTGGGGGAGTAAGAAAAACTTTATAAATGTCCGCAACTTACACTCATTCAACTAATATTTGTAAGCAATTACAAGGACTAAATATTTACTGATTAAAATGAATGTAATGAATATCAAGTGTATTTGGTGGCGTTGTTGTATAATTATATAACTGAAGATAATTTATGCATTATCATGCAGATAGTAAATATTCTTCAGTTCTTGGCTATCTATTTTTTTAAACATTCCAAATAGGGAAAGCATTTGAACTTTCTAACGCTTCCATATGGTGTTTTACGGACGGGTAAATTTTATTGTTTTTGGTGCCAGATGTATAATTATAATATAGTATACATAAAAGTATTATCGATATTTAGCCATATGTATAAGATAATGATATTGTAAAATATATGAGCATACAATTTTATTTTATTCATATAATTCCATGTATCTACTATTTGGATACGGGATTCCAAATTAACTTTAATCCTAAACCAACGTACCACGCAGAAACCATGTTTTCTAAATGTGATATGAAGCAAATTCAATATAGTATATAGTAATACTGTGACTGACATGGGTTGGTATAACTTACCGCACTCGTCTTCGTCAGTGCCATCCGTGCAGTCTAAATTACCATCACAGAATTTATCTTTCCCGATACATCCACCTTTACTTTTACATTTGAATTCCCTGGATTTACATTCTGTTGAATAGAACATGTATATTCTTTTATACTACCATGGCCAACCTCCAAATAAAGTATTAACAAATTTAGGTATACTTACCGCAGTCATCCTCGTCTGATCCATCATAGCAATCTTTATTCCTGTCACATACAAAGTCTTCATCGATACAAATGCCCTTATCACCACCAGCAGTGCATTTAAACTGATTATCGCCACAGTCACCTGTAAAAAGTGACAGTTATAAAAGTACGCGATGAGAATGTAAGGTACACTAAAACAGAGAAAACTGGAGTAAATCATAGCTACGATAATTACTGAAGACAATATTTTTCAATAAAATATCATACAACGATCCAGTAACGTGTTACTGGATGGTTGTATGAGATTTTATCATAACGTTGTACAATTATGGCTTTGAAATATCCACATGCTACATAGCGATAGTTGAAATGAGGAATATATTTACATAATTTAGGTACATACCATAGGTACAATTAGCTTCATCGCTCATGTCCTGGCAATTGTTCACACCATCACACACCAGATACAGTTTTACGCATAAAACACTGTTGTCACATTCAAAATCACTCTGCAAACAGGGAACTGTAAGAATAATATAAAGTAGTATATCCCTTCCACATTAATATTATACTAGGTTTCATAGTTATTACAATAAAATGGGTTTTCTGATCATGACGGAGAAAGAGAAAGCATAATAGTGGTTTGATGGCTGGTTTCGTTAGCAATGATACGTATATACTGACCATAATACGGGTTGACTATGTCATCATCCACAATCAAGATGTCTTTGTAGGTAGATTCCATGATTGCTGATCGCCGCAATTTGTTAGTATTGCAAACTGTTACACTTGGAAACAGTAAACTCTTCTCTGTAACAACGTCAATCTGCAATAAAATGTTACAATTACTGTTAGCACACATTTGAGATGAGTCGTTCATATTGGCAATCTATATATTACACGCGTCATACCGATATAAATGGGCTAACTTGAAGACGAGACAACAGTAAATTCGATTGTTTCTTAGAGCTTAGAAATCACCAATGTGTTTCATATAATGCAATTACAGGTGTGAACAATTAAATGCATGTTTTCCGAACCTTAACAGTGACGCCATATTCCATATACTGTAAAATGAGTGTAGTTGCTTGCCAAATAAAACAGCCACACGAAGTGAAGAATATCAGAGCCCATACGCAACTACCGAGATAGCTCGATGACTGGAATATTCTTGGTATTCCGTGGGTTGTAGTACTCTTCCCAAAGTTACGCGTTATCTCAATGAACGATTTCTCTTTCAAATCTTTCATACCATCACTAGATTTAAACTTGATGTCCCTCTTCTTGTTGTTTGCGAGATGTGTGTCATCCCTATCATAATTAGGCAATGCAAATTCAGTACGATCTTGCGTGTGTGTTTCACGACTTCCATAAGAATTAAATGCCCTACAGAAGAACACATGTAACGATATATAATTACTTACATACATTCATCTCATTCTATTCTAACAGTAGAATAAAGAAACAATAGAGAAACAATCATTTTTTTTGATAATGTTGGCGACCCTAAGTAATTTCAATCAATGAAGGGAGAATACATTTGCGCAATAACAATATATATACTTTTTAATTGGCACAAAGCAGCATTTCAATTCAATTCCATATAATGATGTGTTATCAAGAACCCATAATAACTTGATTTAATTAACAAATTTGCTAAACTGTTAAAAATACTCATTTATACTTCGAAACGATCAGATTCTTTATTGGCGATCCGCTCCGCTAGGATTGTCCTTAAAATCAGTCTTGTAATATCAGAGTTCAAATGACCATGCTTTTTATTTTGGCTAATTTGCACACCGACGAGAGGATCACCGGCACCGACGTTGTTACACGGTATCAATGTCCGAACGCAACTTTAGACTTTGAATGAACTGTAAATCCTGCGTTCAATCAAAGAATCTAGAAAATACAATCGCAAAACGGTCGGAAATAAAAAGTTTGTCATCTTATCGAAATCTAGGTTAAAGGTTCAACTTGCGTGAATATAGTTATTATAACAGCAAAATACGGTATAGTAATAAAGTGAATAGACTTCAGAAGATTGAAGCAGTCTATATTTGGAAATGTTTATTAGTCAAACAAGACAAATGGGCTGTGCACAATGATTCGTTTGTTCTTGCTAAAATTTAATAGGCATATATATATATACAGTGGTGTCATATATCGAGTGTTTTGTGTTTTACTATCAATCAATTATGAACATGCTGTTAAAGAGGCAATTCGTCGGTTCAGGTTGCCGCATTAGAATAATCAAACAAAAACTCACTAGTTTGTAAATGGTTGTTTTAGTTTTAGCAGTAACTTGCAAATGCATTTTACCATATACTCCGCTTATGGGGACCTGAAGACCATCTTGTTTTTATGTAAAATAAACATACAACGTCTGAAATTACAAACTGTTAACAGGAAGTTCATTAATAATGTAATTAAATGTTAAAGTATTTGTGTTTATGGTACAACTTTATTTTATTTTAATATTAATCACAACATGATTAATGAGTTATTTATGATGAGTTATTCATGCAAATTCTTGGTTGTGTTAAATATAACTTGTAACAGTAGGCATTGTGCGTTGAATATTATTGGTATACAACATATTGCTTTATCCTAAACGACATATTGTATCCGTTGATGTTTTTGATGCATTCTCGGACTTCATTGTTACTAAGGTGACATACACATTGTGAATATTATTTAGAGTAACAACGCTATAGAGTGAACTATCATTGTTGTAAACGTCACGATATTCACATTACACGACATTATTGGCATGATCGTTTGAACATTACGCCGTGAAAAACAAATTGTGAGACAGTTTTTATCACTGCAATGTGAGAATTTCAGTGTAACAAAAGTTACTCGAATAGTGCAATGACATTAAAATAATGCCGATTGAAAGTTTATTTTGAATAAATGTAGGAAAGAAAGGTAATATTTTGACGGAAGCGCTTAGACGTCACGCCTGATCAGCATAAATTAGCTTTTGAATATTTTAAGCTAGTTCTGTGAAATTGCGATTTTTCTCTCTGACACCGGAATTGGTCATGTAATACCTGACTCGTGGCTTCTTGCGATGTAATAGTATAATACAGAGTCCACTCTTGCTCTTGTGATAATCTCATGTAATCTATTATCCGCATTTAATATTGAAATGGGAAACCAATCTGACATTTCATTATAGCACACATTTGTATGCGACGATTACGTCATATATTCACCCTAGAATCGAATCGTTGGTTTACCTTTCCGGCACATGTTGAAAGTTGAAATAAACATAATTACATATATTCAGTTCGGGTCAACTGCCCGCTCTTGAAAAAAAAATAATATAGAATTGTGAAAAACCCAACAACAACATATTATCTTTGACAAGGAAGTTCCTAATAACATTAAAATGTGGCGAATCATTGTTGAGTGCAGTATTAATTTGTCACTGAATGTAAATTTAAAGTGCAAAATTAATCGATACTGCGTAGAAAACGTCATCACCCAACGGAAACTATTAATGAATTGTGTTTAATTGTAACGTGTTTGGGTTGGATATAATAAAAAGTGATTTATGAAAAAAAAAAAAGCAGTCTCGAGGAAATCAATTAAACTGGAATCGTTTTTAACTGAGTCCATCGCCGACAGGAGAGAATGTGAACATATTTGCATAATAACTATTTAGCCGCCAGCCACATACACAATACGCGGTTGGTAAAACAAATTAACGAAATATATAAGTGCCTGTTGAAAGGAGCATTCGACAAAACGTCATATATTATGCAAAGTGAAATTGTGTGGTTGGAAAACAACGAAGCAAATGTCAAACTGGCTTTTTACGAGTATGTTACATTACACATTACATAACGTTATCATGACATCACACTATTTGAAATGGTACATACAATGTGCATTGTATATTTATTGCTTAAGTTCAAAAATGACTAAATAGTGACACTATAATTGTTGTATATACTCGAATATTATCAATAATTATCACGGCACGTTTTGTACGAAGAAAACCTGAAATGACTGTTCTGACAAAATTAGGAATTCCCGTAAGAAAATGCACATTTCGGGAAATATAAATCGTATGTTTTCTTACTGTAAATCTGCTGCGTCGAGGGTGCGCCATTGTAAACCTTTATTGTCAGTCATTATCGCATCTTATACCACACAATCGTAATACAATTTTACTTCAGATCTGTAGAAAAAAAATGTGAATTAATTATAGCGTCATGATTAGTGAATTCCGATTGTTCGTCAATTGTTTTCATAATATTTAATCCAACAAATATATTTGTTTCCAATAAATGAGTAAACACATGGTGATTTGTCATGTACCATTTTGTATGTTAACAGCATGCAAATAGTTAGAAAATGATTGTTATTATTCGACTTAAGTTCAATTTGCAAGCTGTCTATCAGTACATCGTATCCCATGTGTGTACTACAAATGTCATGGTGGAAAAAAAAGTTGTAGACAAAACAAAAAGAACGGCTTATTGCCATTTTAACACAAAGAACTTCTTATATTGATGGCGACATGTAATATGACAAACCATGGCAACCCATATAAATGCAAAACACGCAGTAACCTAACAATGCAAACCTTCACTCATGGTGCATGCATACATATGTATTCGCATATCTCGATTACAATTGAATATTTGTTCAGTACTACGTAATCCAGGCAATAATATATATACACTACTATCTCCTCTTAAGTAAAAACCATATGAAGGACTTTCTTGCACATTATGAATTCATTATAGTTATCCACTTCATCACATGATGATGGTCGATACAGTTTCACAACAAAAATGAGAATGTCGTCATTGTTTGTAAACTGGGAGACTAGTTTAATATAAACGTCTTTTTTGAGAAAATTGTATGATATGTTTAAATTACACAGTTAACATAAAGGTTTTAACAAGAAAAAGTAAATTGTGAAACATTGTAATTTGTTGAAACTCGGTATAATGGTGTGGTTGCAGAAAAAACAGCATCTTTCACAAATTTAAATAAAGTCATCCGAACGTTTCACGATGGTATTCACGTCCTAAAACCTTGCGATACATGTGTAGCGCAAGGTTTCACCTTTTCTCGCGTGAAACGCATCCGCGTTAACTTCGAGTTAACAACGTGGAAACGACCATACACCAGTATATTCGAACTCGTTTCCTTATATTCTATGATTTCGCACAGAGATTCAAGTAGTTATAGTTGATACATATGAGAAAATGAATACCAAGCTGGATGTGCTATTTTGAATCAGAATCTTTAAGATAAAGCAATGTATTCAACATTGGAACATTGCCATTGTAATCAACTAATTGTTCTATTTGTCCGGTTATAAAATATGCGAATAAAAAATATCCCGATTTGCTATTTACTGTATTGTTTCTTTCCGTGTCTTTTCATGTTTCATCACTGTTGATCCATGCTCGACAATTTCTTAAAACGCGTTATATTACAGTTTCATACATTTCAACTACAACATAACAACAGTAGGAGTCAACATTTCCATGTATTAAGCTGTTTTATACATTAATACATCGTAATATATTATATTTGTAACATTGTTACACGCAAACTGAATTTACGTCATATCTATTTTACATATAGGAATTGAAACACAATATTTAAGAGCACTTTATTACATGGTAATAAGAGTGCTCTCCCCAAAGCGTCATATCTATCGTATTAAAATATGCATTCAATGTTACAGTATTGATTATTCAGTCAAATTTAATACAATAAATTCATTTAATTTTGTTGTCACAGATTCGATTTCAAACAAGCTATATATATATAAATCGATTCTAAACAATTTCACAGGATAACAAATAATGGCTTATAATGTCCCAGTCAAATACGATACTCATACCAATGTTTAATGAACATTACATGAATGCAGTTTTTTTTTATCATGTTATGTGAGCAAAGACAATTCATAGTAAAATGTTAGCAAAATATTCAGTCCTTACAAACATAACCTTGGAAGAAATACTCAATTCCTTTGTGTAAACATTTGAGCATCCATTCAAGTATGTAAAGCATTAAATTACAAATGTATTAATATATAATTCAGTGTTACCAGGTCATTTTATCCACGCGAGAAGGTAACAACATGAATATTATCATAAGCAGCAATGGCTGTAACCAAGGAGGGAGCTGAAATTGCAAAATTAATTGTCAGATGACTTCGAGTGATCACGAAGACAGCCTTGCTCGTTCTTTGTATGTTCCTGTCGCCATTCGAATTAGTTTAAATAATAAATATATGTGTTAATCCGAACCATTTGCCGCTAGTTACCATGGAAAGCAATTAACTTTGACTTGAAATCCGTGTTCGTGATATATTAAGTTTCTACAGAACAAACCAGTGGTGAGTA